CCAGGTGGGTCTTGGCTTGGCCTAGCTTTTCCATCATTTGTTTCAACTCCATTATGTCTATTTAAGGAGAATTTAAGGTAAATAATTTTTGAGGATTTAAATTACAAATAAAAGAACAAAATTATGATTATTATATAATTATGAGAAGAACAGATAAAATATGTTAATAGCAAACTATGTTTTACTGTAGCATTGCATGTAACAATTTCAGTAAACGCTTTAGAAAATAAGGAGAAATCATTTTGGTTTAGTGATTTTATAATAAATAGATATTATAAAAATGATCAAATCTTAATAAATTACCTATATCTCCTGAGTTGTCCAGATCATATTCCATAAACTTAGCTGTAACAAAACAAAAATGCAACATAATGTATAGACACACCTCTATGTTTCATTAAGATTTCTTTGGGCTTTTTAAGAATAATGAAAAATGCTAGTTTTCATAAAATTGTGCTTATTTAAATGAGTTTACTTGATGTATCTGGCACTTAGCTTCGTTCATGCTCTCATCTCTGACTATCTCACGCATTTAAAGCAATTTCTAATTCAAAAGTTTTACCTCCACAATTACATGCCCTCTCTGGGACTATAAATCTGCATACAAACCTTTGTATGCCACTAATTTCTCCTCTAAATCTTCAACATCGCTATAGTCGCCACCATCCACACAATCCTAAAACAAAAATCTTTAGCTATAATACACTATAACAGATCATTTTGTAACACTACATTTTTATAGTTTGATATTAATCGATGATATAGTAATACTTGTAACTGTTATGAAATTATATATAAACCTTATTGATCTCGTCCAGAGCATCCTCTTGTTTCTTCCTTAGTTGTCCGTATGTCTTCCCTCCTAAAATTATTCATTACATAAATAAAACACATTCAAGACCAATAATGAGAGCAAACGCATATTCTGATGATAAAATTTATCTCGTTAAGTCATTCCCTTGTTTTGATTATATTATAACTTTATAGTAGGAAGCTTTGGTACATGATTGCTTTGTCATATGTACGTAAGTGGTACTTATGAAGTTTTCCGGATTACAACAGTCGACTCCCATTCATAGCTAATGATAGGAAAGTCTTAATTAGCTTACTCCAACTTTCAAACTGCAACTGTCAGGGGGAAATCCCTTACTAATAATCTTTCAGTATATTTTAGTTGATTTTTTTCTATTATATTAGAAAAGGTTGTGCAAACGCTCAATAAAATAGATATTGGAGACAATGGTTTTTAACTGCTTGTCGTTTAAAAAACATTCACATGCTCTGGGACACTTTGATGTTTGACATGACCTAGATACCCAGACATTTTTGTCACTACAAACGCACTGTGGCATAATTAACGGGAACTAGTTGTCAAATGATCTTATCTTAGAGATATAGTTTAATCTTAAGATTTATACATCCTATACAGGCAAATGATAATTCTCTCCGGAGTTTTATAATTAGAAGTAATTTAATACTCTCTCTCTCTCTCTCTCTCTCTCTCTCTCAATATGGACATTGTCTACACTTCCCCAAATGGAAGTAAATAAACTTATTATTACACATAACGAGACCATCCCTGAACTAGGCCACATCTTAATTGATTGCTTCGCTGGTTAACTTTGGCCCAGGGGGTCTTGTCATACATAGAAGCTTGATTGCACACTGGTATAATTTAAACTACAAAATCTTGTAAATGCGTGCCATTAACTAAAAGTTTGTAAACTTGCAAAGAATTAAAATTTAGTGTAAAAATGGTATCAAGCTTACGTACAGATATCGTTATAGGGAGTTATTTTATGTCCATATATATAAGGTCATTTAGGAATATGCCGTGTTAACATGCTATTTTGAACGTTGAAAACTGACTAGTATTAAACTGATATGTATAGAATTTTTAACCTAAAATTAGGAAAAGTAATTCGGTATATGTATGATCCAGGGGGCTAGGGGAAGTTTTACAGAAAGAATATTTCCCTGTAATCTCTAGAATAAAAATACATTACCTTCCTAATACGCTATCAACACTTTGATCAAGTAAGGATATGCATGCATAAATGATTTTAAAAACCTAAAATCAGGCAGAACAATTGATGAAGTCTATCGAAAGTAAATTTGACAAAGAAAAATACAAGTAATAAAAATTACGTTTGGCCTTTAATTAAATGCCTTACATGTATATTGAGAAGTTTGTATAAAGATAAAACAAGACTTTACCTTGTTTATCGGTAAAGTCCACCGGCATTTTCTCAATTTATTCCTTCTTCTCAAATCTCAATACACAAATGCCCGAAATAAGACGGTCGACTTCCCACAAGTCTTTCAACAAGCGAGTGTCCACAGTCAGCGATGTTAAGTCAGTTGTATCTTAAACTTCCTGTTTGTTGTCACGTGGTATTCGTAATAATATTGACTCGTCCATACATACGTACTAATGATCTAATAATTACGCACACTATTTTCACTATTTTACTCCCACATAATTTATCTCTTTTAGAACAAAAATATGCATAAAAAATAAAAATATAAATGTAAAACATCTTAAGACACATGTTAAAAAATAAAAATAATTAATATAAATGTGATTTATATGACAAAATTGATATATGCATAGTCTTGTAATGCAAGCATTGAAAAAATCTTATTCATGCACACTTACCTCTTTTGTATTTTATAAATTCCTCTTTAAAATACTTAATAAAAGAAAGAATATGACAGTGTAGCCCCACCCCTCTCTTCCGAGAAACTTGCTGAATTCACAAATGAAGAATTTTTCCTAATGCTAACCTCGTATAACATTCTCAGTGAAAGACATCTATGTTAATAAACAATATTACTAAAGAGCCTCTGCACCGTTCTATATGGAAAAGATTTTTTTTAATGTACACAAAATTGATTCTTAATTGAGGTGTGGGTGTTTAGATGTTCTCCTTCGTTACAGTTCATATATAATATTGCAAGTAATGATGAATTACTACAATATTCAAGTAATATTGATATTGATTCTTTGTGTTTTTACGTGTACACAAATGAACACACTTGACAAATTATAATAATAAGTATAACATTTTACTAGAAAACGGCTAAAAATTTTAATCAGTTGTTGTAAATAGGATATACTTTAGGGTTTTTACCTACATTAAACTTTAAGTTTCATTAAAGGTCATGTGCTGTGAATATCATGGAAAAGGGAATGTGAATCAAGGTCTGTGTTGTAACAATTAATGACAGTCATGTTATAAGGAACAACCATTATAATCAGAATCTGTTGAATGGTAACTGACAACGTTTAAAGACTGCCGCCTTTCTTCAATACTTTCAGGCGTAAATACTAGTATATCTGGAAACAACCTTAAAGTACATATTTTATGTTTCATGGAGAAATTTATGATAGAGGCAGTGTGCTCTTTGATAAACTTAAGCAATATCTTACTTAACTGTAAGGCAGAAAATTTCTTAAACTATAAACAATTGACCAATCATTTGTTAGAAATCATTATTCCTTCCATGGTTTTCAAATTGGGAAGTCGATCGAAAACATTTACCCCAAAACTTCGATTTATGCAAATATTACCGCATGAATTTTATGGAAATAATGAACAAAATTCAAGCTCAAAAGTCTATAGAACAAAACAAAATTGAAGCAGAGCATACACGTACCTCCAAAATATCAAAGGTGGGATCAGGAGTCATAGAGAAGTGAGCATCTCCTGCCAAACTGCCACACCCGCCGTGTGCTGATCGAGAAATATTGGAAAAATCCGTTGACAATTCAGTGTATATATAATGGCCCAACAATAAGTCTGGAAAACGTCGGTCAGCATTTGACTGAATCTATTTGCCGACAAGGTCATTGTATTGACCAAAGATGTTTTAGGGGTCCACATTTGCTCTGCGTCTGATTTGTAGTCTGAATTGAATTTTGATCCTGAATACTGTTCGTTATTTTCATATAATTCATAATATGATCTTGTTTACAAAAAATCAAAGTTATAACGAGCATCGAGAACCTGGAGGCATTTTAACAATAAAATGAACGAAATTAACGTCGTACAGCTTTTGCAGAAAGAAAGAATACCTAACCACTGTCTGGGTGTTATGTTGTGAAATTTCTCTCCCCAATCGCTGCGACGTTAGTTCCCCTACTAACAACCAAAGAAAGGTTTCTGTTTATATCCGTATAAATAATCATTTAATATAGGATTGAAAAGATTAAATAATTGTCGTATCATTGATGTGTACGTCTTGGTATGTTTTATTGATGGATCAGTCACTGATCAAGAAATTTTTACAGGTATTATGCTTAGTGTTGTTAAACGACAATGTTTTTTTTTAAAGTAAGGGAGAAATTATTCAATAGATTTAAGTAAATTATAAATGTATAAATGAATGTACACATTTGGGTTTGTTAGTTTCTTTGCTTTACATCCCATCGAATGTTAAGGGAAGGCTGTTACTTTACACCTCTACTCGAAACTTAAGGTAGGATTCTTCTCATATTTCTTGTATTTAAAAATTAATGAAATTTTCACAGAATCAAGAAGACATGGTATCAGTGAAATTAAATTTGACCGTTTTATATTAGAGGAAAGGTCAGGTCAAGGTCATTACCTTTTTTTCGGGACATTAAGAATATAAAATTACTGTTGCCAATCCTGCGATGCCTACTTCTATTTCAAAAGATTGAATGTTTTTCTTTTTGCATAAAAAGATACTACCATGAAGGGCCTATATATAAGACGATATTACCAAATTGACATAAATATTTTAACTAAAAGGGATATTGGCTAATACGAATTTTCTCTACTTTTCTTAATTTTTAGGATATATTAGTTATTTTCATGTGCTTTCTATATTAAAATTTTTCTTATTTTCTATGGTAAAGTTGTCACATAAAGTACAAAATGATACAAAAACAATACATAGTGATCGTTTACTAAGAAAGAAAAAACTCTTCATTTTTTTAAAAAATGGATTTTTTGCTCAAATCTGTACTTAGATTTGAAGCTTTTAAAAGCTAACATAGTTTTAGTTTGCTTGAAAAATCATATTTATTTCATATATTTTGAAACTTTAGTCCCTTATTATTAATTTAACTTTCATTTGAAAATTTCTGCAAGTCTTTGATTGTGTAAAAATAATAACTAGAATAATTTTTCTATAATAATTTTGAGAGACAGAAACGAAAATATTTTCATACGCCACCATTCCTCCAAAAATATAGTCCCTGTTAGTTTTCAAACGCAGTTTACCATTTCTATTTAAAGTTGTACAATTGTGATGAGGAAAGAAAAATGTCTTTTAAATCTCTTATACCTAAATATATAAGACATATAAGCAAATATACTTTGAATAGTTCATCTAGTCAGAAACCAGAGAAGAATCCTACCTTAGGGTTATTGAGCAGTGTACCTATGAATTGTATCAACCTCTAATGATACAACTCCGCTTAATGATACAAATATCATCAAGCGTTGCCTTGCAACGCAACGCTTAATGTCATAAATCGTTGCATTAATAGTTGACATGCTCATCCGCTTAATGATATAATTCTTTCATTAAGCAGCGGTTTAGCATAAGCGGTTTGAAAAGGTCAACCATTCATGCAATGATTCATGGTTTAAAGCGTTGCAGCTGCAACGCTTAATGATATTTGTAAAACCCTCACTTTTTCAAAGATAAAGTCATTACAAACAACACATTTTGCTTGAAGAAACAACAGGGGAAAAAAACCTTTTGCATTTTATTATCATATTTGATTCGTACATTAATGAATAAAAGTAGAATGTAATTTATTCGGTTATATTCAAACATTTTCAGCAATCTAATTTTCCTGATTATTTTCAAGATATCATGTTTAGTAGAAGACGTGCTCGTAAAAAGTCCGGTTTATATGCAGCAAAATTAAGGATTTCTTTCTAAGTAAAAGGGTTGAAACACATTTCATATTCTCTACTTAGAATCCATTTTTCTAGCACTTACACATAGGACTTTAAATGCTTTACGATATTTCATCACATTAAATTTCACTGAACAATAGTGTTAATGACTAGCATTAGAAAGCTACCATACATTGTTAAATTCTAATCAGGGTAGCAGGTTCGTATCTGAAGTCCGGCACCTTCCGTCTGGCTAGAGTTATGTTTCCCAAGTTCCTGCTTTCTGTAAAACACACCACACTGAACATTGTCTCCAAAGCTTCCCGCCTTCCGCGAACTCTTTTGGACTGCGCATGCTTACAGGAAGCGATATGCGCCTTCAATCCTCGACCATAGAGGTAGATTTTTCTGCATTTGGGATTTCCTGGACAAGGCCACATGATAGGCATGGTAGTTGTTCAAAATCTGAAAATTAGATATATATAATTTTGAAAGACTATTACATGTATTTTAAATAGCTTGTCTTTGAAATATGATTTATATTCTTAAAATATTCTTCGGCATACAAATTTCTTTGAATCATTTTTTTGGAAATCTTTCAAGCCCGCAGTGTAATAATGTAAATGTGATGGGACTTTTTAACAATACTCAGAGACGTAAGCGTAGTCATGGACATCGTTCGTACAATAAACCTGCAATACACGACGTCTCTTTTGATTCATTACTACCTTATGTAAATCAACAGTTAGGTCTACATCATATTCGAACAAAACTTTACTCTGTCCCTTTGAAACTTTTAAATAGTCTTCTTGAAAAGGCCAAGGAACATCCAATTTTAGATTCCTCGACACCTGAATATAGGCTCGGTTCTGTGATTATGGATATTGCATATCATAGGCTTTTTAAACCCGCACGTTTCACGGAAGAAAATGCAGCTAAAACAATCCGTCTTTTCCTTAAACTTCAATATGCCAATAAAGGAATTGACGCGGTTAATATAAGTAATATTCTTAATCACAAAAGGGTCCAGTCTTGTATTCCACCATATTTCAAGTTAAAGACTACACCTTGTATTTCCTACAAATATACATCGACCATTGCTTCCAAACTTTTCAATTACAAAAACACTTTACATGGCCTGGATATCGACTATCTGAAAAATAATCCCCCTTCGTGTTCATGTTCTTCTTCGCCCTATAACTATAGTCCTGCTGGACACGATATAACACGTGATGTAAAAATAGTTCGTAATGAGGACCTTAGATCACTTATTTTCAAAGGTCCTAAATATAGGGAACCCCGATCCTTCAACTGGCGTCAGAATTTCATAAATATTATGGATTCTATTGAAAATTACGCCAGACGATGGGCCAGATATGAAAAAGAAGACATTGACACCTTGTCAGAATGGATTAAATGTATCAGATCCATGTTAAAGTCACGTATTAAAAGATTGAGGGGCAAAATGAAAACCATCTATCCTTTTGTGTTCAATAAACCAGAAGTGAAAAAAGAATTAGATAGATTACACGATCAGTACGGACTGGTTCCTGCCGACAAAGCAGGTAACAACATTGTCTTCGTTTGTAAGGCTCATTATATAAATTGCATTCTAGAAGAACTTGGATTTAATTCTACAAGTGGTAATCCTACTTATACTCATACTTCTCTTTCTAAGGAAGAAATTCTTCAAAATCACCTGTCAGTTTTGAATACTTTTAATATTCCACAGAGCCAAAATGAATTTGAACTACCTTATATATATTGGATTCCGAAACTTCATAAGAATCCTTACAAACAAAGATACATTGCAGGTTCCAGTAAATGTTCAACCAAGCCTCTTTCGTTACTTCTCACTAAATTATTGACAGTAGTGAAGGAAAAAGTTCAAGAGTACTGTACAACTATACATTCAAGAAGTGGTGTAAATCAGATGTGGACACTTAAAAATTCTAAAGAACTTTTGGACAATTTGAAATCACAAGACTTTACAAAAATCAACAGCTTAAAAACTTACGACTTTTCAACTTTATACACAACAATTCCCCACGACAAATTAAAATCCAGGCTTTTTGATATCATTGACAGCTGCTTCTTCAACAAAAATGGAACTCGTAAATTTACTTACCTCGTCATTGGTCATTTGAAAAATTATTTTGTTAAAACAGATTCTGATTGCACACATAAGTACTCTGAAGTTGATATCAAGAAGATGCTTGAGTTTCTGATTGACAATATCTATGTGGTTTTTGGAGACCAGGTATTCCAACAATCTATTGGAATTCCCATGGGTACAAATTGCGCTCCGTTATTAGCAGACTTATTTTTATATTCATATGAAGCAGAATTTATGCAAAATTTTATGCGTGAAAAGAAGAAAACACTTACTGTGGCCTTCAACTCGACATTTAGATATATCGACGACGTATTGTCAATTAATAATGATAATTTCCATTCCTACGTCGACACGATATATCCTGGTGAGCTTGAGATAAAAGATACCACAGAGTCCGACACTTCTGCTTCATACTTGGATATTTTACTTGAAAAAGACACTAATGGTAATCTAACAACCAAGCTATATGATAAACGTGATGACTTTAACTTTTCTATCGTCAACTTCCCTTACTTATGCAGCAATATACCTTCATCACCTGCATACGGAGTATATATATCTCAGTTCATTCGATACGCAAGAGCATGCTCTACGTATGAACAATTTCTTAAACGAGGTAAATTATTGACAAGCAAGTTGATGAAACAAGAATATCAACAGTCTCCTTTAAAGTCATCATTTCGTAAATTCTATGGTCGATACAATGACCTTGTCAGCAAATACAATTTATCATTGAATGAAATGCTGACTGACGTTTTTCATGATACCAATTGTTAGTCCATTATTTATACACTGAATTGACGACGGATTTTTTCCGCTATTTCCTGATTATGACAACGAGCACACGGCGGGTGTGACCGGTCGGCAGGGGATGCGCACTCCTCCATGGCACCTGATCCCACCTCTGATTTTTCGGAGGTCCGTGTTTGCTCTGCTCTTATTTTGTATATTGTTTAATGGACGTTGAGATTGAATACTGTTCGTTATTTCCATATCCTTCTTTTACATGTATTAGAGTAAAGGGGATTTTTTTTTACTTATGAAAAGAAAGGTTTTAAAAAAGTCAAGGTTAAACTTCATTGGACTTCTTGGAGTTCATGGATATTGATATACTAGTAGCAAACTTTATCTGATAAATGTTTTCTTAAAAGTATATTTGATTAGATTCAACAGTACTAGTATAATATAGTCCTGATATTTAATGTATCCATTTAGTGAAAAGGCTTTATCTGAAAGATTTTTCAAAGATTTAAAAATCCATACATATATAGGCAACTGAAAAATAAGGGGTCCTTTAATAAAGCCATTTCACGGTGACACCGTAATCTCTGCATTTCAACAAATATTGATTAAATTAAAGCAAATACATAAGATTTAAATGCACATGTTTGATTGTAAGGTATTTAATTACTCGGTAGCACACATGCTTTGACAATGAAATCGTTGTCCACATAAAAATTTGAATGACCTGTCAACAGAAATTTAATTTTCTATATTGGGGTCCTCGCAAAACAAAGTTAAATATTCCAAGAATTTGAGTGTAAAAATTATTGATATCTTCAAATTGAATTTTTAAGAATAAATGAATATTTCTGATAAGGAGTACATCAGTTTCATCAGGATAGATGAAGATACTGACGGCCGTCTAATAAAAAGCAAGAAATTTGTCAAAATTTAAAAAACTCAAATTCAAAAGTTTACTCATGAAAATCTTACTTTACAAAAAATAAATAAATAAATAAAATCCAACATATGCAAACAAAGCCAAGCTCAACGAGTCATGGTATTGTACATGTATTTTATCATTCAAATTAAGAATTACAGTTTAAGGCAGAAAGTATAATCTATACCTAGCATTTGAACTCCTAGTACTTAAGCTTCATTCGTCATTGTTCGGTATAACTTTGTTCCATTAAAACATGATAGAAGAAACAATGTACACTTACATACCGAAAAAAAGTTCAATATTTGTATGCGTTTCGAAAAAAAGCAACGAGGAAAACCAAGTTGGACAGACTGACAGACAGACGAAAAAGAAACCTATAATAATATATATAATTCCCTCCGATTTCGATGATTGCAAACAAAAATATCAGTACTTATTTTCTAGTAAATGGTATTCCTTTTAATTTCTTCGGTATTTTCAGTAATTTTTTGCGTATCGCTTTTTCTTAAAATTGTTTTTACCTACCTATATACTTATAAGAGCATCGCCTTAAAATCCAGTCTCCTTAGCTATCCATTCCTGAAGATTAGGCAACATGAGTATTTAAGGTTCGTGTCTAAGCGTATGCATCAGATCCCGATTGTGGCTATTAACAACGCATCTAGATACATTACCACCTACCTTAATATAGAAGGTTTAATTAAGGTGTCCCGTCCCTCATTTATAATTAAAGCATGGGAACATTTGCTGCGATTTACCCGTCGATAAACATCAGGCGTTAAAACGTTGACAAGGATCTTATACTCTGGCAATAGGGTGCCTTATCCAGGAGAAAAAAAGAAACAAATCGTCGGGTTAATCTATGTGTTGAATGGTCCAAAGGTTTTTAATACACTTGCCGCTATATCTACTCTAGTTAGTAAAACGAATATTTAATCAGACTTCATTTTAGAACAATGCTAATCCGTCAACGATTTTATTTTGTAGTGTATTATTTGTAGGTGGCCGATAATTGAGGGCAATGAATTTCATTTATGTCGAGGTAGAAAGTGTGCTAAACCTGGCTAAGATTAATTGATTTAAATATTTGAAGTAGGAAAAAGTAGAATATGTCTTAAGGCCTTTGGAATAAATACAACAATAGGAAAAAAACCTTGTCATACTTTAACTTAATGGAATGAAACATATGGAGAAAGCGAACAGTATTCAAGATCAAAAGTCCATAAAACAATACAAAATAGTAGCAGAGCAAATATGGACCTCCGAAACACCAGTGGTGGGATCAGGTGCCATGGAGGAGTGAGCATCCCCTGAAAAGAATTACATATTTAAGTAATAGTTTTCTTTGCGTTTAACTGATTTACTTGCATGCAAAATGTACTATATGTAGATGTATTCAACAGGCTATCTAATTCTACCGTGATGTAATTTTAATTTCATCAAAAAGTAAAAATTAATATTTTAAAACAGAAAATTACACTAAAGATAAAAAAGATGTTTGAAAATTAAAATGTAATATTAATGGATACATCCATATGCTCGAATTTGTCCTTTGACTTCCCTGTCTCAGAATAAAAATCTTCCTATTGCCCTCTTTATTAGGTCAACACTGGGAAAGGCTGACAATGCTTTACTGTTCGTTTGTCAGAGTACACGGATGACTTGTGGTACTTGAGTCACTGGGCCAGAAAAGCTGAAACTTGTGTGGAATCATTTGGGGGTATTGTAGATTCTAAATAATTCAAATCATGACCCCTGGGAATAGGATGAGGTCACAATAGGTACTAGTATTACAAGGGGAAATCTTGAAAAGAACAGCATAGCTAACTTACTCAGGTGAGCGATGTGGCCCATGGGCCTCTTGTTTATTCATGTGGCAGGCCTCTCTTCGGATAGCAATTTATTTGACCCTTACCTTGGTACTTTGGTGTTTGACCTACTTTTGCAAATTTTACCAAACCGTAACCTTTGCAATTATTTTCGAACGATTGATGCACTTGGCTTTTTATATTTTACATGCGTATTTCATGTGCCTACAACATTCTTTGTACATGTACAGTGTACCAGCATTTTCCTACCTTTTGACCTTGACATTGTAGCATTAACTCCTTTTTAAGAAAACTTTAAATTGCATTTCTTCAATTTTCTTGTGATAAGACCTTAATTTTGGGTACGAACAGTTTTGAACTCTACTGGAGTTGGGATTATTTGCTTACATATGAACTTGACTTTGGGGTACCATATGCGGATGCATCAGTTATATAATACAATATAAATACTAAAACAAACGGGGCAGGGCACTTTGAGAGGGATGAGAGAGGTCCTAGGGAGTTTTGGTATAAAATTACATAGCAAAAGTTCAAAATCTTCTTGAAATATGGCCTGAAAATGATAGTGTTTCATACAAACAGAATGTATAAATTTACGACCTTGAACTTTGACCTTTTGACCTCAAAATCAATAGGGGTCTTCCTTAGACCACAGGGAGTTGTTATGTAAAATATCATTGCAAAAGCTCAAAGGATTCTCGAGATATCGTGTGGAAACGAAAGTATTATAACAGACAGAATTTGCTTATTTATGACATTGACCTTTGACCTCAAAATAAATAGGGGTCTTTTTTAGTCCATAGGGAGTTGCTATGCAAAATTTCATTGCAAAAGCTCAAAGGGTTCTCGAGATATCATGTGGAAACGAAAGCGTTACAGACAGACAGAAAGACGGACGGACGGACGGACAGACGGCTGGACAGACCCAAATTAATACCCCCTTCTTTTCAAGCGGGGGACAAAAAAAAGGTTGTACACATTTCTGGAAAGTCCACATCTCCAACTCTGATTATGTACATGTACAGCTCGATAATGATCAAGTAGTCTATCAATGGTGTGGGAAAATTCTCCTCTTTTGGTAATCATTCAGACAACCATCGAAGAAAATAAAAATTAGTAAAGTAAAGTGATATAAAAATTTAGAGCATGCTGTGCACAACGACTACATATGCATGTAACGGAAATTTGAATTGTCTCGCTTGAATCGTACTTCTTAATTGAGTCAAGGAAACACGCTTAACTTAGTCTTTTGCATAAATAATAGGTTTAAGAATAAAATATTCACAATATAATGAATATATGCATGTCACTGTAAGACATTAAACTCATAGGCGTCAAAACGGGGGGAGGGGGGGGGCTTTGCTCCCCTATCTTTTTTGCAAAGATAAAGATAAGATAGGCAATGAATATTGGGTCGTAGGTTTCCTCCTCCCCTTCAACCCCACCCCCATTTCAACAGACACGTTGCAGTGTATAGTAAAAGAAGGGTAAGTGGTAGTGTTTGAAAAAAATGTACTGATAGAAGTTCGATCCACCTCCCCCCACCCCATCCCACCTACCTCACGAAATAAGGATTATCGTGTTTGGACTATGGACAAATACTCTTTTTGTTTTGCTTGTCTCGTTTTTTAGTTGGAATTTGTTTCTCTTTCAATTAGCCCCCCACCCCTCCCCTCCCCCATTTCAATTTGCACCCGACGTCATTGAAACTCTAGCAAAAAAGGACACATGGACCATCCTCATTGTTTCTCGTCATTTACTGTGGTAATTTCTATTCGAGCATCTGATGGATGGGTAAAAGAACTACTCTTGTATGTAATAGTAAACTGATATGAATATCCTTTGCTTTCGAATAAATCATTTCCTTCAATACATGTAGTTCGCTTAATGATATTTACGGAAAAATTGGGAGGGGTTATCATGGTTATGGATGTCACAGGATGAACAGGCGTGTGAATTGTGCCTAGCTAGTTACAAAAATAACTTGGTATACACCGGTTGCCAGCATTCAACTACACAGGAAATTGTTTCGTTTTCCTTATTCAGGACCACTGGCACCTGATGCTACCTACTTTTCTTTTAATAAAAAATATACCCCTACCTAATAGGGGTATATTTTTTGATCAATGTAAAAAAAGTAACGTCAGGTGCCTGTGTTCAGGACGTAGATTCACTTACTGTAACATGTACCACACTACGGTAAGATTCTTTACTATGATCCTGCTTTACTGAATGTACACATGATATTGAAATTATGGTTATAATATACATATATTGTACAAACTGATTTATGTATATACATTAAACCTATGAACTGTATGGTTCTTGGCAATAAACTATACACATACAATACAATACTGTTGAGGAATGTACCCTGTCCTTGCATGGTAGGTCACCGATCGAAATAACCATTTTAATGACAATGTACCTTTCTTTCCTCTTTTGCACCCGAAGTGAAGTTGCATTAAAGCTATCACAGCTACACTTTCGAATAAAACGTACTGCTTACTATTCAGAATACAGGGGCGGATCCAGCAATTTTTGAAAGGAGGGGTTCAAGAGTTGTGCCCCTCTACCCCCCCCCCAGTACATACTCTCAAGCAAAGATTCACAGATTTGTATTGAAAAATCTAAGGTTATAAGAAATACTATCTTTATTTTACGTCCTTTTAAAAAAAACAAGCTAATTCAGAGAATTCGTGTCCCCCGCTTAGGGAAAAAGTCGGATCCCCCTGACTGAATTTGTAGAATTATTAAATGTATACATGTATACTGAAGCAAATAAAATGCATGTATGTCAATATGTTTATAAAGATTTGATTGCTTATTCTTTATTATGTGTATAGAAGATTCTTTTTATATGGAATATTTATCACACTGTAATGATGATTTTATAACCTCATAAATTTTTCATTTCACATGCTGAATATACGGTGGTATATTTAGGACACGCAATTATTTTTTTTAAATACCAGAAAAAAATTATCTTGTGAAAACGACATAATTATCTTGTGAAATTTTGTGTAATTTTATACCAAAACTCCCTAGGATCTCTCTCATCCCTCTCAAAGTGCCCTGCCCCGTTTGTTTTAGTATTAATATTGTATTACATGTCGCTATTTTTAGCACAGGGACATGAGGAGAATTATTACGTATAAAACAGGTTCTCGGCGGACTTTATATTCTTATTACATCTATTAGTTTAATAAAGGTTAAATTAGACACCATGCATTGTGTAAAATTTTGACAATATCGAACGTGAATATATACATGTCTGTCACTTCATGTTTGTATACAATTGCTGCCATATTACAGCGGCTCCGTGGTCGAGTGGTATGTCTCTTGCTTCACATGTGAGAGGGCCCGGGATCGCATTTCGGACGATCCATTTTTTTTTTTGAAATACTTTTTGTTTTTTTACTAAACGATAGTATTCAGCATGTGAAATGAAAAATTTATGAGGTCTGGCTTGTACAAACTCATAATATCATCATTACAGTGTGATAAATATTCCATATAAAAAAAAAATCTTCTACACACATAATAAAGAATAATCCATCAAACCTTTATATCCATATTGGCATATTTTATTTGCTTACATTGTATGTATACATTTATATACATTTAATAATTCTACAAATTCAGTAAAGGGAATCCGAACCACCGACCCCCCCCCCCGACCCCCGAACTTCGCATGGTTTACTTTTCCCTAAGCGGGGGACACAAATTCTCTGAATTAGCTTGTTTTTTTTTGCTGTTGAATATGAAGGTCATATGCAACATAGTTTGAACTTTTTTGGGTTCTTCCCTGGAGTTGAAGAGTTCCTCTAAATAAAGGAGCTGTGTACAATATTTTTAATGTCTATATATGAATTTGTACACCTCTTCTAAAACAATTTTTGATGAAAAAAAAATCTGGAATTTATGTTTTAAACTTTTTGTACATTTTTATTTGAATAATGCAAAAATTTTCAAAATTCGATATCTTTTCAAAAGCCCTGGT